ACTTGCTTAGGCCTTCTGAGCCGAAAAATCCAGAATAATTGGGGATACAGCTTCCTAAATCCAAAGGAGTTTACCAGAGCTTGATTGAGCTATATACATGATGAAAATGGATGTTTTAGGAAATACAAAACAATGAATCAAGGTTCCCCTTCAAATCAATTTCCAATGACATATTCACTGAACTCGTCCTTACACCCTTGCTCAATCTAGTTAAGCTCTGCTTACCGTAAGGCCCGGTCAGACTTCACGTGACTTAATCGTCGCGACCAAATCGCCAAGATTTCCATTCATTTTCATTTCACATTCAAAAATTTCGGTCTGGAAAAGTATCACAACCGAATGCAAGTTGATCTGCATGGAATGATGTTGTAACATTTGTCTCCTCGCGATTCAGTCGCGACGATCAAATCGCGTGAAGTCTGCCCGGGGCCTAAAGAGACGAGAAAAAGCTGACGATAGATGTTGTAGGCTTCCTCATCTTTGAAACTGGGCATTTCTTTGATTATGTACACTTTCAGATTTTATAAATTCCGGAACTTCAGGAAGTGAAAGTAGGGCACAATAAAAAACTGAAAACTGACAATATGGTTTTTTCTTCATTTTCGATATTCGCATATATATGGTGCAAAGAAACTTACGTCTAGATGTTTCTTTAGAATAATGTTCTCAAACTTTTTGGGCATTAAGCACACTTTTCCTGTTATTCTCGAAGACAAGAGAAATTGTCTTCGCAAAAGTTGCAGTACCAACTCCATAGTGAGTCGTGTAAGATTTGTGGCACATTTCAAAAATTTCCTCAGAATTCCAGACGCTATGACTTGCTCATAAGAGATCCGCTTACAATCCGGTCCCCGTATCGAATTCCATTCGCGTTTCCCTAAACACTCAAACTGCACAACTTTGGAGAAAAATACGACACCAAACACTCGAGTCATTCGAAGCGGTACAACCCGACAAGTGCAGGGAGTGTCCAGTTTTGTGAGTCCCCGGAGCTGGCCGAGCCCTGGGGGCGGAGCCTCGAGGCCTGTCGGAGCCGCGCAAGCCGAAGCCTTCCGGCGAAGGCTCACAATGGCCAGCCGAGTGTCGTCGTTGAGTGGTGTTCCGCTTCCACCTGTTTGGATAGTCCATCCGCGGTCCCCGCGCATGCGACATATGTTGATCTCGTTCAAAAATTAGTGTGCATCTAAATATCATGTACTCATCATTTGCTTCATCGTATAGATTACTTTTGGCACTTACTTCCACGTAAACCCTGCCTTTGAACCAATCCACTACCGTAGCCTAATTACAATCCTCAACCCCGTCCTTGAAGGCACAGTCTAACCAAATTGAAGTTGGCGGTGTTTTGACGTTGTACGATAGCAAGGCCCCTAACTAATCGCCGAAGTCCCGCTGCAGAAGATGAATTCGGAAGCGAGAAAAACGTTTAGAAGTTGAAGGCGTCCCAGGTAGCTCCGCCCATTAACGTGGGTTATCTTTAGATAACAAGTCCAAACTTTCAGTCCTTGATGTATCTAGAAATGACACAAATCCTCCCTTCATCCCTTCATTATGATTATCAGTTTTCCGACATTTCTATCTACTCCGGAACGCACTTTCGATATCATTATTCTCATACCACCCATGATGATGGGCGGAGCCACCTGGGAGGCTCTTACCTTCTAGTGCGGTTTTCTTGCTTCGAAATTCGTCTTTTGCAGCGGGATTTGGGCAATTACCTAGTTAGTCCCACGGCTATTGAATAGCTTCAAAATCTCAGACTTCTGAATTTGGATGGACGGTGCCTTTAATCAACTTTTTCGAATTTGCCCCTTCTACCTATTCGCTAAAAATTTTGCAAAGACCTTTTCAGAATAAACGACGATGCAACGATCATCAGTACTGCTTGCCATCATCCTGCCTTACACCTCGGCATTCCTTCAAAATGCAATTTGCGCAAATTGTGCTGCCCCAAACCAGTTTAGCACCGGATACACCTACCCAAGTATCAGGTAGATTAACTACCGTAGCTTTACAGTAGTGCACATATACTACTCGTTTCTATATTTAGCCCAAATCCGTTATCATATTTTAATGGTCCTACCGATTTTGGTAATCAACTCGGGAAAGCCATAGCGGCAAGTATCAGTGATGTAAGTGTGACTTTACCACTATTTATAATGCTCTTGCGGTACTGACAACATTTGCGCGTAGCCAATGGCAACTTGAACCTTATGTTCATCCTGAGCGCAATTGACAAACAGATTTCCGCGCAAGTGTTGTATTTACCGCAAGGGCACCATACTAAGCGCAGATCTACTAAGCTCATGACATGTTACTTCAATTTTAGGCTTATTCAAGCAGTTACTCATCTAATCCTTCGCAAACAAAAATCACATTTGGATCGTATCCACAATCCGGATACAGTACCCAGATCTACGGCGGTGCAAATGACTATGGACCACAAACCTATGTTATTCAGCCCAATGACTATCAGAATGGAAACACAAATACCTACGGTAGCCAAACATTCAGCAGTTACCCTATGCAAACGGGATACGATAGCCAAGGTTACGGTAACCAAGGCAGTTACACCTACAGCTTCCCGAACACCAACACCTACAGTAGCTACGTTGCACAGCCCGCTACTTACAACCTCGGCACTTACGGCACCATGCCAACTTACGGTAACACCAACTATGGTACTTATGGCACCAACACCTACGGTACCAACACCTACGGTATCCCGGATCCAATCACCACCGGTGGCACAACCAATACCAACGTTGGCAATTGTCCTTACTGTTTCGGCAATAAGGGCGGATACAAGGCGAAGAGAGAAGCAGAAACGAAAAAATCTGAAGCAAAGAGGGAATTTGCAACGAAAAAATCCGAAGCAAAGAGGGAATCTGAAACGAAAAAACCTGAAGCAAAACGAGAATCTGAAACGAAGAAATCAACTGAAAGCAAAATGAATTGACCTGCTGACGAAGTAGTCATTTTCTGATGTATATAATTTATTTATTATTTATTGATCATGTTTGATGATGAAATAATAAATAAAAAGTTTCACTTTTTTCACCCGCTTCACGTTTCCACGTCATAGAAATCGATGTTTGAACAGACATTAGATATTACTGGTCTGTAGTTACTTTCTGTCGTATTTTTCTTCCTTTCCTTCAATCTAGCGAATGTACAGGCTAACGCAACATTGGAAGGGTTCCACCCATTTTAGGACATCATTATATGGCTACTCTTATAGTCATCCTCAACCCGCTCAGTAGACGAATTCGAATTTGAAATCTGACTCACACTGGCTTTATTTTGACTACGAAAACTGTTGAAATGCAAGAAATAGCATGAAAAGACCAAAGGAAGATAGACATACTGAGCTCAACCTGATAGCTGAGCTGCCGCGCTCTGCCGCGACCGCCTGCTCCAGTTCGAATTTCAATTCGTCCACTGACTGGTCGGGTGAGGAAGACTATACAAAGAAGGATACAAAACTGTAGTGGCCGCTTACGATGGGGTGAAGTAACGAGTATTTTGAACATTTATATAACGAGTATTACAAATTTAGATGGTATCCTTCCCTCGCTAGAACTATCTAAAATTGGGTTTTGGAATTTCGGTCTTACATCAAGGTCACCTACTGAACCGCTCTCCGAGCGAACTTCTGACTTAGCCGCTGGGTCATACCAAAATCGGACTCTTTTTCCGGGGGGGGGGGGGTTTCCTTGCCTACAATGTTGGTGTTGGCACTTAGGCAACGGCTCAAAAGCAGTGTCCGGACGGATTTAGGAGCACCCGGTCTCAACAGTTTATTGAGGCAAAATAATGCTTCTTATGCACACAACAGTCCGGTTGCGACTGCAAAATAATGCCTGTAAACCGCTTCAAAATTCTAAACCTATACGCCCCTCGGTCCTTACCTAAGCAGGAAGTCCTGACGGGACTCGCCGCTGCAGTCAACGACAGCGTCGCAGCGCCCGTGTTCCAGCACGATTTCCTGATTCGGTAAGGACCGAGGGGCGAACATGTCAAAACTTCTGAAACGATTTTCTCCCTTCACAGGCAATATCGCAATCGCAGTCGGGCTATGGTTTGCATGAGCAGCCCGGGCTATGGTTTGCATGAGCATCAGCTTCAGTCAAATTTCAAATTGTGAGACTTTGGGAAACGCATTCTTTCCGTTTTTGTTTGTTGATTATCGGACCCAGTGTTGCCCCAGGTAAGCGTATTTGCAAATCTAGTTCTTGCCCAGACACTGCCTGCAAAGGCAGCGTTCAGGCAATTCTGGATCCATGGGGATCTCATGTGGATAGTAATTTTGGAGTCCTAACTAAGCCACTGCCCAACCGGCAGCTCAGGTAGTGCTCCGGCTGAGATGTTCTCCTCGAAACTGGACCCCCGATCGTATTTCGCATGGATTCATGGCAGTTTCGCATCAGGATCCACGCTTTGAGCCATGAATCCTGATGCGAAACTGCCATGAATCCATGCGAATACGATCGCGGGGTCCAGTTTCGAGGGGAATATCTCAGCCTTAGACCATTACCTGCGCTGCCGCTTGGGCAATGCCTTAGTTAGGACCCCAGAAGTACTTTCCACGTAAAATCCCCATAGGTTCAGATCTGTCTGGACGCTGCCTATAACTGGGATGGGTAGTGGCTTCACTAAGAAGTGAACAGTGAAGCCACTACCCTTCACTAGTGTATAGTCGACTCATTTTACACGTTCATGTGTGTCACTGCATACTTGGAACTATGGCGTTCCCATCTCGGTTCTACGAGCAGAACAGGGGTTCCCTTCTCACTTCTCCTACGGGTATGGGCTAACGCACGACGAAGACGCAATATCTTTGAGCTCGAGCCGGCTTCATTGCCGCAGAGCGCATGAGACGCAAAGTTTACAACGGTGAAGATACGCGCGCGCTCAACTTATACTACTTCTGCGCCTTCGTCCTGCCTCCGCCTTTGAGTGGTTTCGGTGTTTTCACTGATATTCCCGAAACAAACGATCTCTAACTCACAGGGAGAATCATTCATTACAGGAAAGGTAAATTGTACATGAGATAGCATAACATTGGGTACCATGACACAGATAATAATACACTAGGAACAAGTTCTGCGCTTTTCGGCGAATAAATGCATATAGCCATCGAGTATCAGATGTAACAGGGTTTCGATAAGTTAAGAGGAGATCCCGTGGATAAATAATACCTTGTACTGTAACTATAAACAAGCACGAGTATTATGCAAAGGTAGTTCTGAAGTAGGCTGTGCCACTTTGGAGATTAGAAAGGAAAGGAGAGTGAGGTGGTTTGTATTTAATCGCTGTCACTATCGATGACTTTCCTTTTCCTGGGCTTGACTGGTGAACTATCCTCATCTTCGTCATCGGTGCCTCCGTAATTATAAGTCTTTTTTGTGGCCTGTCGTCGGCTAAAATCATAGGAAATTTTAGTACAAAAAAAAAGACAGAAAAAGACATAAAATCTTAAAAGTGCAGTCCATCTGTTGACTGAAAAAAGAACTATGCGCAGACTTACCCTACTGGTCTTGAAGGTTTTGGTGATTCACTGTTTTCACTATCGTCAATAACAACATCGTCGTCCGAATCCGAGTCTACAGCCTTTTTCTTGCCTTTTCCCTAAGAAATTTAGTATAACAGTGATTATCAATGTTGCTGAGATTTACCAACCTTCTTTCCAAAGAAATCTGTCATCTTTGGCGAATCACTGGTACCATTCTCTTTCTTCACTTTTCCTTTTGGCGCTTTTTTGGTAGCAGCTGATCCATTTTCAGCCTTTTTAGCAGCAGTGCCATTTTCGGCCTTTTTGGCTTTCTTCTTCGGTGGGAAGTCATCATCACTATCATCGGGCAATTCATAGATGCTGTCATCGGCAGGCTTTTCTTCCTGAGAAGTTAAAAACTTTGCAACAATGAAAGGAGATAATGTTTAAAAATTCTAAAATACCTTCTTAACTTTCTTTGGCTCATCGCCTGATCCACCTATGCCATTTTTCTTCGCAGCAGTTTTCTTGGGCTCAGCCTAAGAACATGTGAATTTTTCATGCTTCCATGATCAATGCAAGACACTCACTTTCTTCGCTTGTTTAGGAGAAGGCTCGCCAAAGGCGCTTTCGTCACTCTCATTTTTTCGTTTAGTGGCCTTTTTAGGCTCTTTCTGAAAGTGTTTCGTAAAGATGATGTGAAGACGGAGAAAGTGAATAAAGTCTTACTTTGACTGGTGATGAATCATCCTCGCTAAGCATGACCACATCATTCGAATCTCCTCCAGCATCTCCGGCTCCACCATGTCCATTTTCTGCATTTTCATCAGAGACGCGTTTTGGCTGGAAGGGATGAATAATTCTTTTCAAAATAAGGTGTAAGTCGAATTGAAAGAGTGATGGCTAATTACTCACCGGGCCCCTTGAAGCACGATCTTTCTTCTGGGGCAGTACTTCCTCCACAACATCATCGTCCTCGTCATCAAATAGTGCACTTTCCTCCAACTAGAAAAAAAACATAGGCGATGGTCAAATTTATCGTAAATTAGCTCACATCATCCACATCGCTAAGTTCGGTAGACGATTCGTCCGAGTTCCATTCATCTCTTTTCTTTTTCTTGGGACTTTTCTTTTCGCTCTAAACAAAGAATATATACTCTCCCTTTCATAAAGATAGAAAAAGAGCACGGAGTACTGAAAATTGACTAACCGTCATGAACTTCTTGATGTCATCACCCTCTTTCTTCGGCTTCTTTTCTTTCGGCTCTTTAGGCGGTTTCGGTTCTTTTGGCTTTTTCTCGCGAGTAGCAGCAGCATTGATCTTGTCATACTTTTCTTTCAAAGACTTATCGATGTTCGGTAGTACTCGCATACCATCCTTGGACGGGAACACTTCCTAAATAGGTGACAAGTGATGACAACACTTCACCCATTATGTGATGAGACTTACCGCTGCAAAAGCAGCTGTCCTCTTGTTTCTCGACTTGTCTTCCTTTGTGAACTTCTTCATAGCGTTCTTGATGCTAATTTCAAGATCGGCCTTCTCTTTGGCTTCCTATGCAACACTTTTTGCAGATTCACACAGAACACACATACAGAAAGCGTACCTGCTTCTCCAAGGCTTCGAGGAACACGTCCAAGTCGGCATTCCACAGATCAGCCCATGTCTTCGATTCCAATTCGCGAAGTTCCCGCAACTTATCGTCACTTTCTTTGAGCAATTTGTTCTTCTCCTCTTCGGAAAGTTTGATAAGCGCCATTCCGACCAGATAGTCATAATCTGACAGTTTGCCTTCCAAATCTCTGTCTCTGTCACCGCTGCCGTCCTCCTTAAACTGCCATATTACAAAGAGTGCATAGGAAGATCTAAAGGAATCAAGGACAATCGACTTTTAGGTCTTAGAATCGCCCCTTCATAATGCAAAAAATGTATCTTCACGCCTATACACATCACCCACACACTTCAGGCAACATTTCTAAACCGAAGAATTTCTGTTAGGTCACAGTTCATTCACTGATCTCTTGACTTAAAGAACAGAGCCTGATATTGCTGACCAAAACAAAACCTTATGCATTGAAGTAGCTATCATCATAGACCATATGTATGGCGGTCCAAACAATTGTTTTCCTACCTCCATCTGTTCCTCTTCTTCAGTCGCATCATATTCACCGCTCTGCTCTAACTCTTTCTTCTTTTGAAGCTCTTTCCATCTCTTCACAGGGTCCGGATCAAATCCTGAAAAAAGCTGTTTTCTCATACGTTTCGAGTTTTAGAGTTTGGCACTAAAGACCTTTCTTAACGAGTTGCTCCACGATAGCAGCCTTCTTCTTGTTTTCCATGACAATCTCTCCTTTGATCTTAGCCAAGATAAATCGAGCCTCAAAATGAAATGCTTAAAGGCACAGTTCACAAGACCTAACAAAAATTGAGAGCACCTGATTTGTTAGACGATTGGATTGCGATTTCAGCATCCCCTCCATGAAAGCCTTCCTTTCGATATACTTTTGCTTTCTCGTCTCAAAGAACTCTGCACAGATCTCTTCTGGAGAATTGAACTTGCGTAGGCAGCCAGCAGCATCGAAGAGCACCTCAAATGAGATAATTAATAATGTACCTGAGTCTCAAAAATAAAGAAACTACCATAGACGTGGTGTTCAGCACAGTTTGCAGCTTGAACACTTTGTGCAAGCCTTCACTCTCAAGCTCTTTCATCCTTCCATTGGCTATTTTTATGACGAATCGTACAGTAGTATCAGTATGGTACTCTTTGAAGTCACTGAAGCGCATGTTGAGAAAAGGTTGCAAGGTCTTAGAAAGTCAATGTCTTACCTAATGAGAGGTGTCTTCTTATCACTAGAGTCAAGCATAGGCTCCAGGACCGACTCTTTGTATGTCTGGGTCCAGGTTTTGATGGGGAGCTCAGTGATTTCGATGACGTCATCGCCAAGCACCGCAACCTCACCGGAGCACACGAATCGGGTTGAGTCAAGCTTCTCGATAGTACCGCGGAAGCCTTTGAACCACGGAACCTATAATAAAAGTTGCATGCGTTCAAATCGAGGAAAAAAATTTGTTGTTTGGAGAAAAAAATCCACATCAGGAGGCTAAATACCCACCATTGGCTTCGGCTGCTCTCCTCTGATGAGTTTACGAATGTTCTCACAAATCTCTCTAGGATTGTAGTTGGGAATGGATGTTGACCATCCCGTACCAATACCTACGAATGAAGAATTTTGTATTTACAACGAAATCAGATAAAGCAGATTCCCACCTGAAGCTCCATTGACCAATACCATTGGGATGATGGGGCAATACCACTCAGGTTCGATTCTCTGATTTTCCTCGAAAAGGAAACGAAGAATATGGTCATCGAACACTGGGAAAATTGTTCGAGAAACAGGACTAAATATGAAGAGCATCAGCCGTGTCACCACTACACAAAGTTGCACTACTAACTTGAGTTGCGTGAAAATATAACGAGGAGAGGCACTGTCCTTTCCTCCTTGTAATCGTGTACCAAACTGACCGATGGGAAGCAGTAAGTTTATGTTGTTCGAGCCAACAAAATCCTGAAGTAGAAGGGATTGGAGCAGCGTAGAGTACGTTGATGAAATATTTACCACTGACCTGGGCCAAGTTGATAATGGTACCCATCAACGATGCTTCTCCATGATGGTAGGCAGACAATTCACCGACAGCACCGGCCAGCTGGGCAACCTTCACTTCGCGCTTGTCAGCACGCTTGAAGCATGCGAAAATGACCTATAAGTGTACATTACAATCCTTTCCTGTAATGGAACGACTAAATAAAGAGCCTACCTTCCTCTGACCAGGTTTAAAGCCATCAACAAGACTGGGAATTGAACGCTCATTGTCAGTGTTTGAGAAGAGAACCAGTTCCTGTAAACATGGCATAAAACAAGTTGGAAGTCTGGAAAAGCTGGTTCCACTATATTATATACCCTTTTCTTACCTTATTCACAAAGTCACTGAATGTCACAGCACGAGTATCTTTGTTGTACAGATACTCTTCTTCCAGTCCTCTAGTGCGACGTTCTTTCTTCTCAGCCATCCATTTTGTTAACCAGTCCTGTAGAAATTGGGATATTGGAGCAGGACAAGGGGAGAAATAATTGCAGCACACCTTCCGCTCCTCAATCTTCTTCTTGGAAAACGCCATGTCGACCGCAGTATCGTCTTCTGCTCCACCATACTTGAAGCGAATGCGATGGCGTACCATGTCGGAAAAGTACTCCTTTGCCTCTTTCGAGGTTGAAGTACCTGCGACAGAACTACATAAAAAGAACAGAAGTTATGAATGCTGGCTGAAACTCACCCAATCCTTTGTAGTACTTAATCTTGAACGTTTTCCAGTTCTCCGTATTATTCCTCCATTCATTATACTCAGGAATAGAGAAGAAAGACAATTCCTCTTTCCCTTTGCTTGCCTAAAATAAAATTATAAAAAATTCAAAAAAAGGAAAAATGACTAGGAGAAAAAACCATACTTTGACGATGGGAGTGATAAACTCTTCCACAAAATTTCTTTGTATGAGACTAGGCCAGTTGTGGTGAATGAAGTTTATGACCAACCCTTTGATGTGCGACCCATCTTGATCCTAAAAAGTGAGGGTTGGCAAGAGTAACAAAACGATAACAGAGGTATGGTCGTAAATTTTTTCTTCGTATTACTGGTCTCAGATTCGCCTTTTGGTAATCATAAGTAAGGCCTCATACGAAGCAAATATGTACCTCTGCGCCTTTATACATCGTCTACTCCTTCAGACGACATTTCTAAAGCAAAGGAACTTTGTTCTGGTCACTATAAGAGTTTCATCTCTGAGAAACTCACGGAGACAAAACATCTACAAGTCAAGTGACCATTTTGATTCATATTATGAAATAGCTGTCATCACAGACCAGTAACACAGTAACAATTCCAGAATGGAAGCAGTTATAAGGCTTAGAAAAAGAATTGCAAACTTTCATGGAAATCAACTGCTAGTGAATACGCTTGAAGGAGAAAAAACCGAACCTGATCTGCCATCACCATCACTTTTCCATAACGAAGTGATTTAAAGTCCTCTTCAGTCTCGTACTTCTTTTTGTATTGCAAGCCCAGAATTTTGATCAGAGCATTGATTTCAGCATTTTCTGCTACCTGTAAATCAACCAGTCATACATACTATATCTCCAAATTCTTTACCAACCTGCTTGATACTTCCTTCGCGGACATTTAGCAGCTTACCACGAAGCGGGAAGACTCCATACCGGTCACGGCCGACCACACCGAGACCAGAGACAGCCAAAGTCTTGGCTGAGTCCCCCTCAGTTAGGATCAGCGTACATAGTTGGGAATTTTTCGTGCCAGCATCGTTGGCATCTTCAAGTTTTGGAATTCCCTAAATTCCAGCAATTAGGTATAGCGGGTATAACGCATGACAGTGCAAACCTTCAGCTTAGTGGTTTTCTTACCACTGCATTTCTTGTTCATATCTTCTTGTTGCTTAAATCTCACCCAAGCAAGCACTGCGTCTACAATACCGCAGTTGATGGCCTGCAAATAACCGGTTTTTATACAAAAGGAGGATTCCGGGCGAAAGCTATGCAGCTTCACAACCCCCAAGTATGACTTGACAATGTTTACCTGTACTGTAATTAGTAGAAACAATGGACAAAGTAAAACTGTAGCTGACCTGCTTTGTAAACTTCTCGCTAAGCTCGCATTTTGATCCGAATGATTTTGCTTGCAGGGTCATCGTTTCCTTGGTTTGAGAGTCGAACGTAGGGTTTTCAATCAAACAGTTCACAAACACCCACATGTGATTTTTTACCTGGAAAAGAAAACATCGTGACAATGAAGCAGTAGGATACCAGTCAAACCCACTTGGAACGGCTTTACGTTGACCGTGCTTTTCCCAACTTTCTTCTTGATGACATCGATCAACTTGGACACCATTTGGTCAGCTACATAGTCGACATGGCGACCACCCTATAAAAAAAGAAATTTATAGAGTAAAAACAACTTGATTCGTGAGCTTACCTTCATTGTGGCAATACTGTTAACAAAAGAGATTTGTTGGAATCCCTTATCCGAAACCGTCAATGCCACTTCCCATCGATCGTTGACCTTAACAAATCATAAATCCCCCCTACGTAAGATGAATATGCTTCAAATCTTCACTTACCGCTTCATAAACGATCTTGGCTGGCTCGCCGGTTGGACCAGTGATATCCTTAGTGTATTGCTCAACATACTGTTTAAATCCTTGCACCTTAAATATGAGGTTATCGACTTACCAGACTGTACAATAAAAATGAAAATCTAGCTCCGACACCACTTACAGGCAAAACTTTTCCGTTCAGCAGCACTTTTACACCTTTTGTGCTTCCAGCGACGTCATAAGCACGACGACACATCAGCCCGATAATGTCATCATCCAATTCATGCATTTTGAATTTCTTGAGATCTGGTTTGAATGTGATCTGAATAAAAAGAAATATTTGGAGCTTTGAATAATGTACGCTATGAACCTACCTTTGTGTAATCCTCACCAGCAGCCTTCACAATTTGGCAGTCTTTATCTTTAGTCATATTGTTGATCCAGGTCTAAAAAAGAGGATGAGCTGAAAATTATAAGCCACAGTGAAGTACTGTTAGTTCTACCTGCTTAAAAGCCTTTCCATATTCCTTCGAAGAAGTTTCGAGTGTGAATTCAGTAGAGAATATGTTACAAAGTTTAGCACCATAACCGTTTCGACCACCGGTTACCTTAAAACATAAACTTAAATCAACTGATAATAAATAATTTGAAAATGTTAATTCAAATCTATCTAAGAAAGATGGAGAAAAAGATAGAGGTGGAATGATCACCTTTCTTTGACTGTCATCATAGTTAGAAGATGTTAGCAGAGTTCCAAAGATCATTTCAGGAACATACATATTCTCCACTTTGTGGTGAACTACCGGAATACCTTTACCGTTGTTGTAGATTGAGATCTGGTTCTTTTCTCTGAAAATAACATTTTATTACAAATTATCTGCAATAACTCTCGAAATGCTCACTTTTCAATATTGATTTTTATACAGTTCATCTTGGGATCTCGCTGTTTGTTATCCGCAGCATTCACAAGAATTTCATCGAAAATTTTGTACAATCCTGGCACATAGTGGATATCTTTCATAACCAGCTTTTCACTCTCCAAGTCATAGATCCACATTGGCTAAAATAACGGCTCAAAGCAACAGTGGAGAAAACAACGATAATAAACATACAGCTTTTTCGGTGTATTCCACGGATCCAATGTACGTGTCAGGGCGGAGTAGGATGTGTTCCAATTGAGATTTCTTCTGATAGATATCCTCAATTGCGAGCTTTTTCCCAGTTTTAGGAGCTTGATCGATGTTTGTGAACACATTCCTGTCCTCCTCAGTCATTGTAGTCGAGATATCAGCTAAAATTCTTCTTTAGTGGCTGTACAAAGGCATCCCAATATGATTTCGAAACATACCGATCTTTTCCTTTTTTTCCTTGGGTTCTTTCGGCTCCTTCGGTTTTGCAGGAGGCTTCTTCTCTCCAGCCGGCTTTTTCGGCGCAGCTTTCTTTTTAGGAGAGTCATCGATGAAAAAGTCGCTGTCTTCACTGTCGCTCATCTTGACTAGTGTGAGGTAGTAAGAGGGACGAGCAACCTCAATAAAAGCTAGTCAAACAAGACTTAACCTTGCCTATATTTTTCGTAAAGAAACGAACATACCGGAGATTCCTCATATACAGAAGAATGGAACAAAAACTTAATTTAAGCTTGACTTTACAAAAAGAACAAATACAGTGGAATAACTTTAATACCCAATAAAACACCAGAGCACAAGAATGAGTAAAAAAAACGTGGGAAAAATGCTCTTCTCTTGCAAGTTAAAAACTAACCAACCGACGAAGCTAACAACTAACAACACTCCCAAACACCCCCCCCTCCCTTCCGCATCCCAATCTTCACCCTACAACCCTTAAAAAGGAAGAAAACAAGGAGAGGAAGCTTGAAGGAGACAAATCAAAGTACACCACTCGAACGCGCGCACGCGCATCGACCCGCGCGCGCGAACGCCGTCAATCCGGTTCGAAAACAAAAGCTTCGCGCTCGGCGCGAAAAAAGAGCATTGCGAAGCGCGGGAGTTTGAATATTTTCGTGAAATTTTCACCAGACTCTGATCTGGACAACGAAGTATGAACACTACATGGTTTTTAACACTGAAGTCGACAAAAATCGCTAGGAAATTTTACGTTCGATAAGTTTTGCCCTTTAAATGACTTAATAGACTTTGCTCTAGGTTGTAGATGAGTAATTAGTGCAATCAGGCGGGTGTGCCAGAAAAAAGTAAAGGAGTGGAAAGTGGGCATGTTTCTTTACTGCGCCAGAAGAACCTTTGCAAAGCCAGAAAATGAGTTGTCCTTGTTTCACCGGGTCGCTCTGTGTGGTTGCACATGTAAAATTTGCTGAAGAGTAAACCGATCGGTATAGATAAGTACCTACACTAGTCCATAAAAAGAGTTTAAAACAGGAAGTTGAAAAACTCGCTAAAAAAAAGCTCGTAATCTGATAGGTCTTCTTGTCAGCGTATCACTACGTAATATATAACGAATTCGTTGATTACGCAATAGTCCTCTGATAGTTGGATTATGGCAAACGAGGAGGGCGCAGACGTAAAAATTATGATGAAATACACTGATCTTTGGAATTGGATTGCTGCCAAGTGGCATGCGTTTTGGAACGCTGCCAAATTTCATAACGAGTGACCAAGCATATTTTCGTAAAAGGGTCACACAGGTTTCGAAAGGCAATCATGAGTGTCGCAATAATTTTGAGACTGTGACGCCAGTGTCCGGGTGTGTTATTTGTACCAGCTTTTCAAAAGTGAACTTGTTATTCCAGAATGTGTCTTTCAAATATGTTCTACTCCTATTAGTTGCTTTTGAAATGATGCCAAATTGCGTGAAAGCGTGACTTGAGCTAAATTCATCTATATTCTCAACTCTTCGTAAAAATGCTCTAACAACAGTCACTTTAGGATTATCTTGCTTCCGCGTGTAGACAGGACAGTGCGTGAATAACTTAGTCTCGCTGGTACTTTTGGAAGCGTTTATTTAACAACAGCCTTGCTTTTGCTTATGTAACTGAGTCCCGCTGGTTTCAACTGGGTATCGGTGTGTAAGCGGCACGTAGGGCAATTCCATCGGGCAGGGAATAGATTTTTGTACTTTTGGGGCAGTTCTCAGAATTGAAAATCCAAGAGTGGCATGCACGGCAGTTTGAGAATACGCTGTAAATACATGATTTCGTTTTCTCCTTCTAGAGTCGTAAAATTGGCTTTTTATATATACGATCTTCAAGCGGCACATAAGGCACTTTCTTTTTGAATAGTTACTCTCGGTCTGTAAGCGGCACGTAGGGCAGCCCGATCGGGCAGGGAAACTGATTTTTGTATGTTTGAGCAGTCCTTATAATTCTTAAACGGTCTTCAAGCGTCACGTAGGGAATAAACTTTCATTTTGAATAGTTACTCTCGGTCTGTAAGCGGCACGTAGGGCAATCCGATCGGGCAGGGAAACAGACTTTTGTATGTTTGGGGCAATTCTTGTAATTTTTTGACGGTCTTCAAGCGGCACGTAGGGCATAAACTTTCTTTTTGAATAGTTACTCTCGGTCTGTAAGCGGCACGTAGGGCAACCCGATCGGGCAGAGAAACTGATTTTTGTATGTTTGGGCAGTCCTTATAATTCTTAAACGGTCTTCAAGCGCCACGTAGGGAATAAACTTTCATTTTGAATAGTTACTCTCGGTCTGTAAGCGGCACGTAGGGCAACCCGATCGGGCAGGGAAACAGATTTTCGTATGTTTGGGGCAATTCTTGTAATTTTTTGACGGTCTTCAAGCGGCACGTAGGGCATAAACTTTCTTTTTGAATAGTTACTCTCGGTCTGTAAGCGGCACGTAGGGCAACCCGATCGGGCAGGGAAACTGATTTTTGTATGTTTGGGGCAATTTTTGTAATTTTTTGACGGTCTTCAAGCGGCACGTAGGGAATAAACTTTCATTTTGAATAGTTACTCTCGGTCTGTAAGCGGCACGTAGGGCAACCCGATCGGGCAGGGAAACTGATTTTTGTATGTTTGGGGCAATTTTTGTAATTTTTTGACGGTCTTCAAGCGGCACGTAGGGAATAAACTTTCATTTTGAATAGTTACTCTCGGTCTGTAAGCGGCACGTAGGGCAACCCGATCGGGCAGGGAAACTGATTTTTGTATGTGGGGCAATTTTTGTAATTTTTTGACGGTCTTCAAGCGGCACGTAGGGCATAAACTTTCTTTTTGAATAGTTACTCTCGGTCTGTAAGCGGCACGTAGGGCAACCCGATCGGGCAGAGAAACTGATTTTTGTATGTTTGGGCAGTCCTTATAATTCTTAAACGGTCTTCAAGCGCCACGTAGGGAATAAACTTTCATTTTGAATAGTTACTCTCGGTCTGTAAGCGGCACGTAGGGCAACCCGATCGGGCAGGGAAACAGATTTTCGTATGTTTGGGGCAATTCTTGTAATTTTTTGACGGTCTTCAAGCGGCACGTAGGGCATAAACTTTCTTTTTGAATAGTTACTCTCGGTCTGTAAGCGGCACGTAGGGCAACCCGATCGGGCAGGGAAACTGATTTTTGTATGTTTGGGGCAATTTTTGTAATTTTTTGACGGTCTTCAAGCGGCACGTAGGGAATAAACTTTCATTTTGAATAGTTACTCCCGGTCTGTAAGCGGCACGTAGGGCAACCCGATCGGGCAGGGAAACAGATTTTTGTATGTTTGGGGCAATTCTTGTAATTTTTTGACGGTCTTCAAGCGGCGCGTAGGGCATAAACTTTCTTTTTGAATAGTTACTCTCGGTCTGTAAGCGGCACGTAGGGCAACCCGATCGGGCAGGGAAACTGATTTTTGTATGTTTGGGGCAATTCTTGTAATTTTTTGACGGTCTTCAAGCGGCACGTAAGGCATAAACTTTCTTTTTGAATAGTTACTCTCGGTCTGTAAGCGGCACGTAGGGCAACCCGATCGGGCAGGGAAACAGATTTTTGTACGTTTGGGGCAATTCTTGTAATTTTTTGACGGTCTTCGAGCGGCACGTAGGGCATGAACTGTCTTTCAGATAGATAATTGGTTTGTAAACGGCACGTAGGGCAATTTGATCGGACAGGGAAAGAAGATTTTTATACGTTTGTGCAGTTCTTATGATTGACGGTTTTTGGGTGGCTCCCTTTTGTAGTAAAGCTTCATATTTCTTTGGCGAAAAAATTGAAGGATTCTTTGACAAAGTTCTTACAAGGGAAGGATACTTGGTGATCATGGCCTTTTGAAATGTAACGTATACCATTAAATGCATCTTGAAGCGCTGATTCCAAATCTGTTTTCGGTATCTGCTGTGCGGTTTTCCGAAAGAAGTTATGAACATTTCTTGCCACAAAAATTTGCACTGTTTTTGATGCAGGATTTACCAATATCGTTAGAATATTCGCTTACGCACTACAAAAAAGCGTCAAAATAAAGTAAAGCTTCACGTTAAGCTCAGAAAAACTGTCTATGATAAATCAGAGTCTAAAAAGCCTGGATGCTAACGATTCTGACTGCCTAAATCTCGTAAAATCAATATAGAAAAAAGTCCATAATTTCGTTCACAGAGTCGCACAGCAAATAATGAACATAGGTTTGGAATCAGCGTTTCAAGGCGCATCTACTGGTGTACATCTCACTGCAAAAGGCCACGGTCACCAAGTATCCTTTCCTTGTTAGACGACTGATTTCGTTGCTGTCGGAACTGATTCTGAGAGAAAAGTGTTTTTGTAATACACATAATTCCTATGGTGTGTTTCTACTTCCAAAACGATATGTTCTGCTACTTACTTAACAATCTTTTATGGAACTTGATGAGAAGAACTGAGCAAATTCTTTTTGAGAGGGTAGAAAAGTGGGAGGGGGGTTATCTGAATGTCTGTGTGAGGAGGGAATTTGCATAAAAAGCGTGTAAACGAGATAAAAATAATATCATGCATGGATCAGGAATTTCGAGAAATGAATGATTTGTGGAGATTATTGCTTCTTCGAGCAGTTTTCCTTTAATGCTCTTCGCAAAAATGTTCTCAGCAACAGGAAATTTATTTAGATATATTTTTAGTCAAACCTAAGCCCTATATGTATCTGCCCCGACCCACTTGCTAGCGACCCGTAGGGTCGCTAGTCAGCTATAAAACAAAAAAAAATAGTGCAAATGCACAAACCGACTGGTCAGATGAGGAGTATGTACAGTTAGTGAAAATTTCTTAGTATACAGAAGTAAAAACTGCAACCTTTAAGAATCCACTGGAGGCTCGGGAAAAAGCTTTGACAGAATTATTACATAGGTGCAGTTGCCCGAATCATTGTAAAAGTCAAGTCAATCAACTGGTTGGGATTTTAATTGATTCAGGAATAGCAACTTCCAATTTTAATGTTTTTGGCCTATGAAAACACCAACATTCTGGCTATGATTCCCTATTGGCTTATGTTGCGCTGTTCTAAAAAAGGAATTTCGACAAGTAATAAAAATGGTTGAAATGAAGTCAGAAGAAAATAGTTTGAGAAGGCATATCTCCTGACAACTTAGCCCCTTCTACTCCCTGATAATCCA